GCACTGACTCCTGCCACTGGTACCTGTGGTCATCTGTACACCCACACCGATCCGTGTGTGCGCTGACTCCCGCCACGGTACCTGTGGTCACCTGCGCACCCACGGCGATCCGTGTGTGCACTGACTCCTGCCACGGTACCTGTGGTCATCTGTACACCCACACCGATCCGTGTGTGCGCTGACTCCCGCCACGGTACCTGTGGTCACCTGTACACCCACACCGATCCGTGTGTGTGCTGACTCCTGCCACGGTACCTGTGGTCACCTGAACACCCACGCCGATCCGTGTGTGTGCTGACTCCTGCCACGGTACCTGTGGTCATCTGAACACCCACACCGATGCGTGTGTGTGCTGACTCCTGCCACGGTACCTGTGGTCACCTGAACACCCACACCGATCCGTGGGTGTGCTGACTCCCGCCACGGTACCTGTGGTCACCTGAACACCCACGCCGAGCCGTGTGTGCGCTGACTCCTGCCACGGTACCTGTGGTCATCTGAACACCCACACCGATCCGTGTGTGTGCTGACTCCTGCCACGGTACCTGTAGTCACCTGTACACCCACACCGATCTGTGTGTGCGCCGGCTCCTGCCACGGTACCTGTGGTCACCTGAACACCCACGCCGATCCGTGTGTGTGCTGACTCCTGCCACGGTACCTGTGGTCATCTGAACACCCACACCGATCCGTGTGTGTGCTGACTCCTGCCACGGTACCTGTGGTCACCTGCGCACCCACACCGATCCGTGTGCTGTGCTGACTCCTGCCACGGTACCTGTGGTCACCTGCGCACCCACACCGATCCGTGTGTGTGCTGACTCCTGCCACGGTAACCTGTGGTCACCTGCGCACCCACACCGATTCCGTGTGTGTGCTGACTCTTGCCACGGTACCTGTGGTCACCTGAACACCCACACCGATCCGTGTGTGTGCTGACTCCTGCCACGGTACCTGTGGTCACCTGCGCACCCACACCGATCCGTGTGTGTGCTGACTCCTGCCCACGATTCCTGTGGTCACCTGAACACCCACACCGATCCGTGTGTGTGCTGACTCCTGCCACGATACCTGTGGTCATCTGAACACCCACACCGATCCGTGTGTGTGCTGACTCCTGCCACGATACCTGTGGTCATCTGAACACCCACACCGATCCGTGTGTGTGTGTGCTGACTCCTGCCACGGTACCTGTGGTCACCTGAACACCCACACCGATCCGTGTGTGTGCTGACTCCTGCCACGATTTCCTGTGGTCACCCTGAACACCCACACCGATCCGTGTGTGTGCTGGACTCCTGCCACGATACCTGTGGTCATCTGAACACCCACACCGATCCGTGTGTGTGCTGACTCCTGCCACGATACCTGTTGTCATCTGAACACCCACACGATCCGTGTGTGTGTGCTGACTCCTGCCACGGTACCTGTGGTCACCTGAACACCCACACCGATCCGTGTGTGCGCTGACTCCTGCCACGGTACCTGTAGTCACCTGAACACCCACACCGATCCGTGTGTGTGCTGACTCCCGCCACGGTACCTGTGGTCATCTGAACACCCACACCGATCCGTGTGTGTGCTGACTCCTGCCACCGGTACCTGTGGTCACCTGAACACCCTCACCGATCCGTGTGTGCGCTGACTCCTGCCACGGTACCTGTGGTCACCCTGCGCACCCACACCGATCAGTGTGTGTGCTGACCTCCTGCCACGGTACCTGTGGTCATCTGAACACCCACCACCGATCTGTGTGTGTGCTGACTCCTGCCACGGTACTGTGGTCACCTGAACACCCACACCGATCCGTGTGTGTGCTGACTCCTGCCACGGTACCTGTGGTCACCTGAACACCCACACCGATCCGTGTGTGTGCTGACTCCTGCCACGGTACCTGTGGTCATCTGAACACCCACACCGATCCGTGTGTGTGCTGACTCCTGCCACGGTACCTGTGGTCACCTGCGCACCCACGCCGATCCGTGTGTGTGCTGACTCCTGCCACGGTACCTGTGGTCACCTGCGCACCCACGCCGATCCGTGTGTGTGCTGGACTCCTGCCACGGTGCCTGTGGTCACCTGAACACCCACACCGATCCGTGTGTGTGCTGACTCCTGCCACGGTGCCTGTGGTCACCTGAACACCCACACCGATCCGTGTGTGCGCTGACTCCTGCCACGGTACCTGTGGTCACCTGAACACCCACACCGATCCGTGTGTGCGCTGACTCCTGCCACGGTACCTGTGGTCATCTGTACACCCACGCCGAGCCGTGTGTGCGCTGACTCCTGCGCGCGGTACCTGTGGTCATCTGTACACCCACGCCGATCCGTGTGTGCGCTGACTCCTGCCACGATACCTAGTCACCTGTACGTCATTCGCGTCCTCTGGGGCGTCACGTTTGCATTACCTGGGAGGAAAGCACGAGGCAGGCTATACATGTGGGCGGAGAGGCTGGAGCTGCAGTACCACTCCTAAATTGCTCTGACTTTCACTCAGACGGTTTTTAGTCTACGCAGTCGCCCAAGAATAGATAACCAGGAATGCCTGCCCTCTCCAGCCACGGCAAAGCGACTAACATCGATATTATAAACTGAAAATTGCAAAACCTTGTCACCTTCTGTCATTAAAGGCGAAATGAGCTGATTGAATGAAGAGTGCAGTATTTATGCAATGAATTTATTTAGAATGCCGTCCTTAGTTATGTTTTCCATCGGTAGCGATTTTCATGAAACTCTGAAGAGATCATGAAAATAACCAGTGCCAAGAGCGACTGCAGTCCACCAGTATTGCTTCCCCCAAATCTGTTCAGATGTTAAATACATTATTCTTGCTGGTCTTTGATATGGTGTGCAGCCCACTACCAGTATTAACACATTTATGTCTCGAGATTTGAATGCGCAAGTAATGGTACTTACTATCCCGAATCTCGGGACAGATTTCAGTAAGGTAGAACGGTGAAAGGCAAGCATGCTCAGGTGACTTGAGGGTAGCACAGGCACATGCACACATTCAGCACACACACACACACACGCACACACGCACACACACACACACACACACACACACACACACACACACACACACACACACACACACACACACACACACACACACACACACACATTCAGAATAAAGTGATGGGGAGATAAGAAAGCAAATACAAACGATTGGCAACAGCATCGAGCGTAAATTTTAAAGCCAGGTTATATTTATATTGTCTTTTCTTTCTACATGTCTGTAGAAAACTGGTTGTTCGAGCGCGCCGAGATTGCAGCCTTTCCGCCGTTTGGCTCGCGCGAGTTCGGTTCATCCGGCCAGAATACCAGACAACGTCCGCTCCCTGCCTGCGTGAGCTGATTGGTAGCCGGCCGTCCAATCAGCGGCTGCGAGGCTCACCAGTGAGCGACACCGAACATAATGCGACCTTTCGAGCTTCGTCAAACAGCTGGGCTGGGGTGGTTCGTGCTACCGCAGCGATGGCGTGACCTGCAAGGTCAGCTGGCCGGAATCGCATTGCTGCCAACACGCGTCACTGTACCGCGGTGCGCGATGAGGTAGACAATTTGTTTAGTCAGCCGCAAATGACGCAATATTTACAAAGGCGGCTTCATTAGGTCGGATTTATTTGCAATACTGGTTCATTACCCAGGGCAATCCTAGACATTGCCTTTTCTTTGGAGGGACCGCCATCCACATTCGCTACAAGCGGGAATGCATTCGTAGTTTGCACGTCACCCACACCGATTACCCATCTTACCGCGAAGAGTGGAGCTGAAGCTGCAGCCCTCCGATTAAGCCATTCACTGATTTGCTTGCAACAAAGCGACCTTCGCCGGGATGCGTCTTATGATCACAGCTATGCTGTTCGTACACCTCACGCACCATGACACCCAGAAATATTTCGTTTTGCACGATAACTGATAACTCGAGCTGAGCCGCCGAGCCGAGCCGCCGAGCCACGCATCTCCGGGTCTTCCTGATCCGCCGCGCAGCATCCTGCTGCCTTCCGCTGAGTATCAGATGGCCGGACGGTTCGGAGCGGTAGCATTTGCATCGCCACACACTGCATCCATCCGTTTGGTTCGGAGCGGTGGCTGCTTCACCGCCACACCCTGCATCCATCCGTGTGGTTCAGAGCGGTGGCTGCTGCACCGCCCCGCCCCACATCCCTCCGTGTCGTTTGGGGTGGTGGCTGCTGCGTCGCCACGCCTCACATCCCTCCGTTTCGTTTGGAGCGGTGGCTGCTGCGTCGCCACGCCCCGCATCCCTCTGCGTGGTGCAGAGCGTTGGCTGCTGCGTCGCCACGCCCTGTATCTCTCCCTGTGGTTTGGAGCGGTGGTTGCTGCGTCGCCACGCCCCGCATCCCTCGGCTTGATGCACCAGTGAGCGAGAACAGGGGTATTCAACATCGCTAATGTAGGGCCGCTAGCACCGTGTGGTGTCTCTCAGCAGGCGGCCAATTTGTGGTGCCGTAAACTGTGCTTCCGGGTCTGACAAGTGAGGTTTTTTGGCCAGCTCAGTGTGGCTGGTTCCGTTCCCTGGCAGCTGAGCAAAGGTCCTCCATCACCCGAACATGACACACCCGACACAGAGGGTGCTCGGCGTCTGCGGTACTGCCTTCTCTCCGGGCTCTTCTTCCTCATTGTCTGCGTGTAAAGCGTTGTTCACATCCGTTCACCACATGAGTATACGATCTCAGAGGACTCGGGAACGACGGGTCCGCCTGTGGCGGCTTGTCTTTGCATGGGCCGCACTGCTTCCAGGGCTCACACAAAGGGGCCAGAGTTTTCACAGGGGAACCTCTTCACAGAAGGCGGGATATCGCCTTCAAGTTCCGAGACCGCCCATGTGTCGCTGCGTCTGACGTGCTTCTCGACAGCAGGTTCCTCTCATTATGACGAGGGTTTCTCCGCTGTTTATCCGCCGCATCTATTGTGTTTTAACGTCATCACGCTGCTCTGGACTCGCCTGCTGACGCTATACTTTCCACCGGCAGGATGATTGACCCCAGCTCGTCGGAAGAGGAAGAGGAGGAGGAGCAGGAGGCGCCGAGGGCGGTGGCCTCCGCCTCGGCCCTCGAGGTCACGCCCAACACCAACTCTTTGACCCGGTCCGTCAGGTTTGTGCCGCAGACCGCTGCGGCCCTCAGAGACATGGCAGCTCACATAGAGGGGCGACGGCCCTCAGAGACATGCAGCTCACATAGAGGGCGACGGCCCTCAGAGACATGGCAGCTCACATAGAGGGCGACGGCTCACAGAGAAATGGCAGCTCACATAGAGGGGCGACGGCTCACAGAGACATGGCAGCTCACATACAGGGCGACGACCATGGCTCACATAGAGGGCGGACGGCTCACAGAGACATGGCAGCTCACATAGAGGGGCGACGGCTCACAGAGACATGGCAGCTCACATAGAGGGGCGACGGCTCACAGAGACATGGCAACTCACATAGAGGGCGACGGCTCACAGAGTCATGTCAGCTCACAAAGAGGGGCGAACGGCTCACAGAGACATGGCAGCTCACGTAGAGGGGCGACGGCTCACAGAAACATGGCAGCTCACATAGAGGGGCGACGGCTCACAGAGACATGGCAGCTCACATAGAGGGGCGACGGCCCTCAGAGACATGGCACCTCACATAGAGGAACTATGGATCAGAGGACAACTCACATAGACGAACTGCGGCTCACTGCGGCTCACACAGAGGGACCGCGGCTCGCACGTTTTGAACTTTATTCTTTCTGGATGAAAGCAATAGTCGAGAAGTCGTCCATTTTGCTGTGTGCGGGAACATTGCTCTTGCATCCGGGAGCGCACGCCGACTGGTATGCACACTACGTTGGAAAGTCGGCTGTCTGTAAAAACACAGATGCTTGTACAGATGTGCCAAAGAAAGATCCTCCGCCAAAAGCTATCAGATTTTAAATATACTTGAAACACGTGCACAAGATGAGGAAAATGCCCAATGTCTTGCGAGCATCTGTCATAGCATTGTCCCCCAGTGTCGGCGGCGAAGCAATGCCCGCACTCAGCTCAGCATGGGGTTTCGCATATGGGAATGTCAACACTCTCTTCTGGGGAATCAGCCCTATACCGCCTTCGGTTGGGCATATCATACACACTCACACCCAATCCACCCACACCCACACCCACACCCACTCACACCCAGAACCCCTCCTCCTCCCCCTCCACACATACGCTCACGCACACGCGCACGCAAACGCAAGTGCACACACACACACACACACACACACACACACACACACACACACACACACACACACACACACACACACATATATATATATATATATATATATATATATATATATATATATATATATATATATATATATATATATATATATATGCAAGTGTTGTTGGGGATCTTGGCGTGTGTAAGTTTCATGAGCTTTTTCTGGCGCTTGCTCAAGGTTTCGTATTACGGCCTTCTGTTGGCTATTGAGGATAAGAAGTAACTCGCTGATGTTGGACACCTACTAATGGCGCGACGTTTTGGTATCATCACATATTCCATTTTCAAAGATGTGCACGCAACATGCGAGGACGGAGATATGTTTACAGGAAAACGCTTAGGCATGACCATTTTATTTATCACTGACAAATTCTGCAAAGTCTGAATGAGGTGGCTGTCACTTTCGGAAGCATTTATAGATACAGGCACAATTGCGTATATATATATATATATATATATATATATATATATATATATATATATATATATGATTTATAATTATATACAATATAAATACATATATTGATATGCATACATGAGGGGAAGCATATATACATCAAACATGTATAAATAAGGCGAAGGGCAACTCCTAACTTATAAAACAAGCAAACTATGTTGGTGTCAATACTACCACACATTCAAGGCGGTTGACAATGCACTTGGCTGACGGCGCTCAAAAAGAATGCATGAGATAACATCATGACCGGAACCTCAACCCATACGACCTCACTAGATTCACTAGATTATGCTCTCGAGACGGTCACAATCAAAACATGACATACGGAGGTCAACAAGCAAACCCATTCACCAGTCACCGATCGCCTGTGTAGGGACGTCGTATTCATCGCAGCTGGAGCTTCGCTGCATGTTGTCGACGGCTCGGCCCTCGCACAACTCGCTTCTACGACGCAAACGAGGCAGGCTTGCCCGCTAAAAGCTAAAACACGTTCCACCCTCGCGGGTGCGCGCTGTGACAGGTACCGGTATCGCATCGGTCTGAATCTGTGTCGTAGATCTCCGCGAAGGTTGACCTCGTCTTACTCCCAAATTTCGTGGTATTCAGAGCGGCCGTCCGCGCTCCGTGTCTGACTATAAAAGAGAGAGAGAGAGCAGACGGAGCAAACAGGATGGGCAGACAGACGCACGCTGGAAAATGAGTGAGTTGGATACAGCTTATTACAGGGCCTGGGATGTGGCCTATTCGTCGTCGTCACATTGTGTCGTTCGTCGAAACGTCACTTGTGGCCATGGTCGGCACGACCGCAGCACTCTGTCGTTCATTTTCGTCCCCAAAAATTCAATTACTCGTGCCAAGTTAATTGTATCCGGTGTCGTCGTCACCCACGAAACCAAGTGGTCACGCGATTCCAGTCCAGGATAAACGGGATCTGAAAAGTCGAAGCCGCCCCACCGTTCCACCTGCGTTCTACGCACCATACAGCGCGCTTTAACCGGTTTGCTTTCACAGCTGAGCTGGCCGGCGCGTTCAACCGCCTGACCCCTAAGATTGAAGTCGTGGGCGAATCGAATGCTGAGGCCATGCTTGAGCGCTGAACTTCGGCGCGTGCCCCCCCCCCCCCCGCCCCTCGCCCCCACATGACGTGGGGGCGAGGCGTGCCCTCCTCCCCCGTGCTCCGGCGAAGCCCCGTAGCGTGCCCTACTCTCCGTCTCCGGCGAAGCCCCGTGAGTGTGCCCTCCTCCCGTGCTCCGGCGAAGCCCCGTAGCGTGCCCTCCTCCCGTGCTCCGGCGAAGCCCCGTAGCGTGCCCTCCTCCCGTGCTCCGGCGAAGCCCCGTAGCGTGCCCTCCTCCCGTGCTCCGGCGAAGCCCCGTAGCGTGCCCTCCTCCCGTGCTCCGGCGCAGCCATGTGACATGTCCTCCCCGTGTGCTCCGGCGCAGCTACGAGGCGTATCCTCCCCGTGCGCTCCGGCGCGGTCACGTGGCGTGTCCTCTCCGCGTGCTGTGTCCTCCCCGCCTGCTCCGCCCCCTCGGCATCGAGAGGGGACAGGTCGGAGCCGGGTCACGGTTCAAGACCCCGGTCCCAGTCAAAGGCAGCCCTCCTGCTGATGTGCATGTGGTCATCAGGACGGAAGAATACAACTGTCCACGGTATTGAACGAACTTAAAAGACCACCGCCGCCATCACGCTTCTTTTTAACACCTTGCGCGCTTCGCGCTTCGCCCTTGCTCAGTCGGTCAGGCGCTGGACACATGACCACTGTGTGGCATGTAGGTGGGTTCGCGCAAGTTGTGTTGTTACAGCTGTCCTGTCGTAATGCAGTTATAACAGCTGCTATGTTGTTCGTCGCAGGCTGGCTATGGACCAGGAAAGACATGCTACCGGGGGCGAGTGCACGGTGTTATTGCATTGTTCACTGGAAATGCCTTGGTACCAGTTGGAAAACGACCGAAGGAAATACTCTACCCGTGGTGATGGCGCTAGGGTAGATGCGCAAGAGTTATGCTCCGGTCTCGAATCCACCCCTGCGTAATTTGTTATCGACTTTTCTTCAACAGTGTTACACATGGGGTGTACTGGAACAAACGCTTATCCAATCGACTGTTGACAAGCCCATAATTTTTTTGCTCGTTTTGAACTGTTCAATTGCTGTTTTCAAACTTGTCGAGTAACTCGTACATATCAGGTCTACGACAAGCCGTCCGGGACTGTCCGTTTTCAACAGGAATTACTTTTGATAGGAGTACCCATGGTCACACCCAACGATCACAAGCAGCGATGACACTTCTCATCCGTTACATGGGTGATGAGTTATTGACGTTATGATAATGTCAAAAGCATCGGGCTTAAACGCAACTATCTTTTCGAACTGAACGGATTTAGAAAAAGCGGGCAGCCAGGGAAAATACGCGTCATGATATCAAAGCAAGCACACGGAATTAGCCAGGGAGCGGAAATATCGGTTTGGTCGGCGCTTTACTACCAGTACGTTTGTGAAGCTCGCATGTTCTCAGTCGGTGACACCTGGCATAAATCTGCATGTTATTTCGGTGTCAAGTTTTAGCGAGCTGGTTGGTTCTGCCGCATCGAGGGGAGATGCAGTAAATGCTGATACATCTGCTGGTCTGTTGCGTATCAAGTCAACGCCAGCCCAAAACTGGCATGGAATGTGTTTTGCCACTCTTTTTTGCCATTGACCCACTCCGTCGGACCAACTTTTAAAATTCATGCATTGGTAATCCATTGCTGTTTGGCACTGTAAAACACACAACACTGCAACACAGAGATTGTTACATGATCGCTTCACTGTCACGTTTTCATTCATGTAAGCGGGTGTCATCACGTACGTAGTCTGGCCTTTTGTCGTTTCACGAAAAGTATTTTTGATTAACGCTTGGGGCCATGGCAAAGCTCATTCGAGGTCAACATCGTACCATGTGCGGTTTCGAGGTTGCTGAAAACTTATCTCTCGTAACCAAAGCATCACTACCAAAAATAACCAACGGTGTCAATGGCGAATGCAATGTCATGCGAGTCAGATCTTCATTCGTCTCAAATGCTGAAGTCGACCTACATAAATAGCAGGTTATTTGCGGTGCACCGATATTACTATCGTCGTGTGAGCTGTCAGTCCACACTGATGTCAAGTCAGTGGCATGGGCGCTCGTGCAAGAACTAACGAATGCTGTACGAGCTGCCACTGTCCTCGGAAGTAAATACTGCCCATGCCACATCCTCCCTGCTGATGATTGCGAGGCTCTTCAGTCTCGATGTCAGTGGCGCAGCTCTCCGCGGTTTCGATGCATGCCTGCAGCTCGTGGCTGAGCGTGACTAAGTCAATTAGGACTGCGTCGCTGGACCATTCGAGTGGTGGCTTCAGTTGACATAGACTGCGCGCGTTG